CCTGCTATCCAGGATGCACAACCAGGCTACCAGGGGTTTGGCTCCTGGCCTCTCACTACTTCCAGCTCCGAAATGATATCCCAGGTTTGTTAGAGCTGTCACGCAGTTGACATAAGATAGGATGCCTCTTCACATTAAGATGGTTGCTTCTTCATCACACAGGTTCATTTCATATAAATTTAGCCATTTTAAAACTAATCTCTATGCTGCATCTATAGTCAAGAGAAAAATGGCAGTTCCAGAGAATAAACCATGCCATCTATTTAAGATGCCTGTCTTAATGAAAGGATGATTCATTCTCCAGAGCTGCCTATTTCTTTTCGTTAACTGTAGGAGGAACCTAGACACCTAGCTTGAACTAGATACATGATTTCTGTCGCTGAACTTGGGTGAAATGAACTGTGGTGATTTAAGAGAGTAGTTTACATGTTCTGCCCATGCAAATTCCACAGCTCTTCCTTACCTCTTGCTCCAAGTCCCCATAGCTCAGTTCTTATTAGTGAATGAACCCAACTATCTTATAGGTGGGATTAATTTGGGGGTAGGGACAGCCTTAATGTGCAGAGTCTCCATGTGTGTAGACAAATACTGATATTTAAATTTGCGTTTTCAATACAGAATGAATTAAAATAAGGCTTATTGAAGTACTTATTTGCATTCAACATCTGCATGTGCTTTTGTTTGACAGAAAGGTATGCAAAAATATTACGGATGTTTCAGACTTTCTTATTAGTAATTTATTTTACAGGCTAGGCTAGTCTTCTTTAAAAATAAAGGCTTATAATGTTTATATTCTGGAATCAGCAGGTAAATGAATGAACTAATAAAGCTCACATCTGTGGAACCCTGGGTGATGCTCACCAATCAGTGTTACTACATTAAAACTGAAAAAAAACCCAAACCAAAAACAAAAACAAAAAACCCAACCCAAAAACTAGTGAAAGAGCCTTGCTGAAGAAGCTTGTATTATTTTTAGTGCTTTTGCATGGTATACCTTTAAACATTCTCTCAGCCTGATCACCATATGGCTCCCAAACTCCTTATTTTTCCCTTTAAAAGTATTTTAAACTGAGCTATGCTATTACATCTGTATATGTCTCATTTAGGGTAACTTACACTTTTGGCTAGCAACACTGAAAATATTTTCCAGCTCTCAAGGTCCAGTCTAACCTTCTTCCATTTTTAAAGCTCTAAATGAGGAGCTGCACTGCACATGTAACTGAAAGTACTGGAGCTGAACATCTCATAAGAAGAAATTCTTGCCAGATTATATATACCTCATAGTTTAAGCAGGGCTGGCAGCAGTGCAAGAGAAGCTGCTTTTTCAGAAAATCAACTCTTTGGATTTTCAAAAAGAATTCCACTTGTATTTGACGATTTCTTTTTAAGTATTCTAAATTGGGATGGAAGGGGAATTTAAGAAACCTCCTTTTTTCCTTGTTTACTCTAGGTACAGCAAAAACACATAAACTCAAATAGTGCTTTTCACAGGTCTGCCCGTTCACTTTGAGTTTGCTGTAAAGGAGTTACTGACAGCGTGCTAACTTGGGTTAAATAATTTCCTTATAAATTCAAACTTGATTTTCTGCTGATAATTTCAGGTAATTCCAAATTACCTTTTATCTTTCTGGGAGCATCTTTCAAATCAGCTAATCTGTGCTAAGAATTCATTTTGTGCCAGCACATTTTAATGATAATCGCATAAAGCATGAAGTGACTGTTCCACTGGGACAAGAGCTTTATCGTTGCTGCCAGATGCCGGCTGGGTCAGTCCTGTGGTCTTTGATCGCACACAAGTTTTTTCTAAGGTCTGTCTAAAAACAAAGTGAAGTGAAGTACCTGTTTTCAGACATCAGTGTTGGGACCTGCAGTAGCTGGGTGATCGCAGCGGAAGGCTGTCAGTCGTTGCTTGTCTTTTGCATTTGGTGGCATTTAATAGTGTTGACCTCTAGGTAAAAGGCATCAACCCTTCCCTTCCAAGGATGTTTCCCTGATTAATTACAAGAGCCTCTGTTTTATGTGGACAATATAGTGGAAATATCCTGTATTTATATTTGGCTCTAGCATGCTAATGCTCCTTTTTTTTTTCCTTTTTTTCTGAATATATTATCAAAAAGATGCTTTGTACTTTTAAACAGATGTAACATTCCAGGTATTAATAATAAACTTCAAATTAATAGCTGTTGCTGCAAGGTCAAAACTTAGTATTGTGATATAGGCTAGAGGGGTTAATGTTTTGTTTAATATTCCTAATGGTATGCAATTCGTTTTGCATAGAAGTCTAATAATGAGTTTTTAAAGTGGGATTAGCTGCAGCTAAATCTTTATCTTTTTGAAACTTTCAGACTCATTTGAAACTGTAATACAAACAAATGCTTACTGATACAATTACATTATAAACAACACAGAAGAATAAGGCTGGCAAACTGCAGAATTGCTTTGCTTATGGATAAAGTCATACTAATAAATTTAAGATGTAAAATAAAATGCACAAACACAGCACGTCAATTTTGCTGGCTACTGTTAAAGTTTCAGCCAAAGAGAATATTGTGTGGTGACTGTTTCAGTTTTTCTTTATTTGCAGTAAATGTAGCTGGCATATAGTGAAATATAAATTAATCTCTTATTTTTGTCTTGTGCTGTATCTCCATCTTAGAGGCAGAGGGAAAGGGAAACAAGTTTATTTACAGTCAGCAAAATAATTAACTGTAGTAAAACGTCACTCCCATTATTTACTTGTTTCAGGAATGTGAAGCTGAAATATGTACACTTAAAAATTGAAGTAGTGATAAACATGTTCATGCTTAATCTAAACAAACATAGAAAATTAGCTGTAAAAGCAATTTAATTATTCAAGGAACTTTGTAAAGTACTTAATCACCTTACTTCAAGCACAACACTTCTCTGATGGAAGAAAATTCTAACCTGTCTTGTACTCAGAGGTGAAGTAATACTGTTCATTCACTAATCAAAAATATGGAAATTTTCAGAAAACTGACTTAGCCTGCCAGAGCCCTAAATGTTTCTGTTGATTAACAAAGTTAGAGCTATTGCAGTTATCTAACTACATTGACATGGCAAAGTAATCGCGTGCAGATAAAAAGCTGTTGGCCAGGAGGTGCTTTTGTGTTGTTTTTTAAAAATACTGGATCAGATAACCTTTTTGAAGGTGATTAGACAGTACGACCTTTCTAGCTAAAATCCCCTTCGTTATCCTGGGGATTCTGCCTTCCAGAGCAGGGCCGGCATTTGCCCTCTCTCTCCTTCCCATCTGCCCGAAAGGACTGGCACTGCAGCTTAGGCAGCGGCTCCGTGCCCCCGCTTCCCTTCCCTTCTCACTTGTCGCCGCTGCTGCCTGCTGCTTCCCCATCACCTTCTGCCTCTTTTCAGCACACCCTCCCCGTTCTAGTTACAAAGGCATTTTTCTCATCTAGACAGCTGTTCGCTGGAAATGTAACTACATGATGTCATTTTACCTAAACGCCTCGCTGCTGTGTTTGTGTAATGTATGAAAACAGTCATGACTAACGCAGGAAATGTTCCCCTCCTCTGCATTTCTGTCCCTCGGGTATCCCAGGTGAGCCCTGACATGCAGGGGCATTTCTCAAATCCATGTTTATTTATAGATAACGTTGCGAAGCAAAACTATGATTAGTGGGTACACAGGCAGTTCTGAGCATAAAGTGCAACTATTACGAACACGGATAAGGTTTTTGTACCCGCAGTATGTAACATGGCCTGTTTTAATGGAGGAAAAACAATTTGTCAATTCCTAGTAATAGTTTAGTACAGTTTTAGCAGCAGACTAAAGTAAGGTATGCTGCAGTTAACATCAAGTCAAAAGGTAAACTTCTTGTTTCGTTTGTCCAAACTGCATGAGTCAGTTCTGAATGGAAAACTCCTCACATTTTAATAGGATGGTAAAGAGTAACGTCTTTTGTATATTCTTTTCATGAGCAAGTATCATTTCTGGGGTATTCACGTATTGATACAATGCCAGCTTTTTGAAGTTTTACATCGCAAATGTTTTTTTAGTGAAGTGAATTAAAATTATGGTAAGATTAACCAAATAACTTTTTGCTGTTGTTGTTGTTTTTAAAGGGGGCTACTATTAAAAGGGATGAGCATACTGGTGCAATTGTGGTGGCCAGGATAATGCGTGGAGGAGCTGCAGATAGAAGTGGTAAGGTGGTGCTGTTTTCCAGTAGCCATTCAAGTTCTATAACTCAGAAAAAGATGAAATAAAATGGGACCATTTTGTACACATGAAATACATCACTATCACAAACAAAAGTATTTGGGGTTTGGACAGCTTTCCAAAGTGATATTTCAATCCTGGTGAAAGTAGGCATGTGGATTTTTTTCCCCAATTTGCTTGCAACCAGGTATCTTTGAGTTAGCAGATACAGAGGTTTTTTTGAGATATATCATGATTTTTTTCCAGTTGAAGACATCCACTTAGAAATTATAGGATATGCCAAGATTACAACCTGCTGATGGAGGAACTCAGGATGGCTGCATTATTTTATAGTAGTATGTCCATTCAGAGTTTCAGCTGGTAATTCTCAAAATACCAGCACATCCTTGGCTGCCATTGTTTAGTTTGGGATGCTCAAAGTCTGCAAGAGGTCCTGAGCTATACCCTAAGGGGCTTCTTTTCATTGAAGAGAATCTAGGACAGCTGTGTTTCACACTTAGATGGGGTAATGGAGTATGTCTAGATATATATTCTTAAATTAGGAAACGTTTGTGCTGCAAATTAGCACTCACAGCCTAAGTGATCTTTGCAGTACTTGCAGCTGTGTAGCAATAAGAAAGTAGTATGAGTAGGAAAAGAATTGGCACAGACATTTTTCAAACATCTGTATAAAAGTCTGGAAAAGTCATAGAGAAATGGTACTAATTTTCAGGAGGAAGGAAGAGAGGTGAGTAAACCAACCATCTCAAACTTATCTGTGAGGGCAGTAGCTATTACTGTGTTCACCATATATTCCTGCTTGTAAGTTAGAACTTAAAGTGGATGAACAAGAGAGAAAAGAGCTTGAATGTTAACGGTATTTTTTTTATAATACGTAGCTGCCATTTAACAACTCTTCTTTGCCTTCTGTAGGTCTTATTCATGTTGGTGATGAACTGAGGGAAGTCAATGGGATTCCTGTAGATGATAAAAAACCTGAAGAAATAATACACATTTTGGTAAATAGCAAACATTCTAAAATTAGTTTAGGGGAGTCAAGAAAAAGTAATTAGATTTACAATTTCTAGTGTATTTTTTAGAAAAACGTATGTTCTACAATAATGCCTTTTCTTCCACTGCCATCATTTACAAACCTCTGTTTCCTTTCTCTTAGAGAATGATTTTCCATGCATTACATATGTATGCAATTACAGATTACTTGTAAAGAGTTAACGATGGTAATATGGCTGTAAATATGTTGTAGAATGTTGCAGACCTCAATATCTAATCTACAGTTTTTAAGGCAATCTGTTGAATTCAAACTATTTTAAATGTATGCATTACTCACGAGTTAACTCCATGTGAAAATTAATTCATGATACATATACCTGATAGTATAAACTAACTGCTATATTAAGATTATATTTTAAATTGATTTTGAGTATAAAGCCATATATATGATTGTTTGCAATCCTCTGAACTGCACAATCTCTAAAGCCAGCCTGATTACTCACTTATGGAGCGCTATTGCAAATTAAGTAATTTAGACTTTTTCAGAAACATGTAATATTTTTACAGCGAAGAAACCAATAGGTGTCATGACAGGGCTTTATGTTCATGGTGTAGGCATTTCTATATACGTAAATACCTTGCTGTCCTCCTGAATAGAGCGGCTGTCTGACAGTTTTGGTTCAATAACTGAGATGATTCATTTCAAATGTTAGCCTGCTGATATTCATCCTTGCTTTATGGTTTTGTGTTCCCTACAGAAACATATTTTCCTGCAGAAATTAATATTTAAAAATCTCTAGAAACACAATAGCACTAGAAAAGGTGTGAACAATTTCCCCATTTACCTCCTCGAGGTGCAATATAAACATCAAAAGCTAGTTAGAGCTTGTTTCAAAAGTAACAGAAATATTGATTCCAGTCCTACGGCTGGTGAAATAAGAACTTGGCTGCTGCTTGTCAAACAGTGAGCTCTTGGATCGCAGACATGCCGGCAGAAGTATGTCTCGCTTGGTAGTGGACAGGCCTGTTTCCATTTTGCTTAAATCGTTGGCTGTCTGTTGCACTCTGCGAGTTTTATGAAACTTGTCGGCTGCATGCAATAGTAGCAGAGGCTCCAGCTGATTAGCACTTCCTTCAATAGCAAAATGTCACTGAGGCAGTGGGAATATATTGTGGTTAATAAGTAAAATGCAGCCAGAAAGACTTTAAGTGGGATATGGGGGAAGATGAATGGATGAGGTGGTTGATGATGGCTAACTTGTTTTAAGATTTACAGTGGAGGGCTTTTTTTCCATTTAGTACACGTAGTCTATTCAAAAATGTTTTTCTTTTCTAGTTTCTTAAAGTTGCCAAAAGAATAAATCCCCCCCCCCAATAGTTTTATGTGATAAATATGGCACAAGCCAGTTTGAATTTTTCTACCTTTTTTTTTTTTGAAAAATGAAATGTTAGTTGGATTTTTCCAGGGGTGTCCAAACTTTGCCAGCAGTCCAGCAGTTGCTTCTAATACGCACATATCAAGCTGTAGCATTTGCTTCTGCTTTCAGTGCAGAAGTGGGACCTCTGAAACATGCAGGTCCCAGTTTTTAACAGTCCATCTCTGCCCACCAGTGAAGCAGAAAAAAATGAGTGTTTCAAGTGGGTATTTTAATCTTTAAAGTGCAAAGTTTGGTATGGTGAAGCTGTGAAACCCTATGGATCATGCTTGGGAGAGGATAGATTTATTATATTTGAGTAGTTTTAAGTTAATTTGAATTTCTTTTCCTTTTAAGATTTCTTTGAAATGTACAGCCTAATTCTCAGCGCATTTTCTTTTCAAATGTTCACCAGGCTCAGTCTCAAGGAGCAATTACATTTAAAATTATACCTAGCGTGAAGGAAGAAATGCCAGTGAAGGAAGGCAAGGTAGGCAAGACTATTTCAGAAGCCATTGCAGTCACTGTTATGCTGAGGATATATATTGTTGGCTCGGACGACAGAGGCAAGAATGTGATTTACGCCTCTGGACTCAGTTTTTCTAATGTGACAATGTGTAGTGCACTGTGCACTTAAGTATTCATGTGCTGGATTTACACATGGGTGTAACAGGGTTCTTAAGCCCTAACTCTGCAGCCATGAAGTTGGCATAGGTGATCTTCAGACTTCTGCGAGGACCTGGCTTGCTTCCAAGTACTCCTTTTCTTCCATTGTACACTGGGTAGAAGATGCTTGATAGCACCTTGGTTCAAAAGTGTCTTCTCCCCTGTTCCCTGTATGGGCACACTATTGACCTGCAAAGTCCTACTGGCCTTGGATCATAGAGTCTTTACTACATTGGGATTGTGGTTGCAGAAGCAATGAATTTAACATTCCCGTATGAACGTCTAATGCTAGACGTCCATAAGGATGTTTTACAGCAGTAAATGTTTATTGCTTTACATTATTTAGTTCAATGGTTTTGAACAGTAATAGCAAAAAAGGGAGATACCTTTGGATTACATCTAATATTTTGATTCTAAAGATAAAACACGGTCTGTTTCAGATGTTTATCAGAGCCCTATTTGACTATGATCCTAATGAGGATAAAGCGATTCCTTGTAAAGAAGCTGGACTTGCTTTCAGAAAAGGAGATGTCCTTCAGATCATGAGCCAGGATGATGCAACCTGGTGGCAGGCCAAACACGAAGGTGATGCCAATCCCAGAGCAGGCTTGATCCCTTCAAAGCACTTCCAGGAGAGGTGAGCTACTGAGAAGCATAGTTTCATTATTTTTTGTAGTAAGAGAATACACTTATTTGTTGAGTTGTTAAGTTAGCATAGTTGTCATACGTAGTGCTCGTAGATTACATGGGTATGATAAACTTGCATTTGCAGCAAGACAACTGAACTTGGAAACCCGGTGCTGAAATACTTTGGATTTCCTTATTTGTCTGGCTAGAATTAATAATGACAAAAACTGATAGGATAACACTCATCCAGACTGAAAGAAAAAACATATGGAAAATACCACATCAGTATCTGTATTCACACTGATGTACTATGCAGGAATAAGAACTGCAGCAGGTTTTGGAGCGGTTACAAAAATTTGAGGCTAAGGATTTAATTCTTTAAATTGTGAATAGATTGCATTGTTTTAAGTTAATTTCTTGCAAAATCTTCTGGATATTTTGCAATAGTCTCATGATGTTAAGTGTTTATTAATCCCAAACTTGCAGTGAAAACTGAGGAGTTTGTGTCTTTCCCCTACCACCTTCCATTTTATAGGAGATTTGCACTAAGAAGACCAGAAGTGCAGATTCAGCCACTGAAAATTTCCAACAGAAAATCATGTAAGTTTGTTAACCTGGAATAGAAATCATATTGCTGTTCTCTAACCTTATAAAATAGCAGTTTGTTTCAGCCCTGTGACTACAGGATGCATTTGTCCTGGGCACAATAGCTTCTTGATCACATCGTATCCTTAGGAAAACAAATATAAGAGCTAAAATTAAAAGCTTTAAAAGCAGCTAACAATTTTTCCCAACCCTCTGACTTTGTTTTTGAAACACCAAGCCCAATTAATGTTTTGATATATAATATTTCAAAGGTTGAAATCTGTACTATTTCCTGTTGAAATAGTACAGAATTGGCTCAACAGTTTATATAATTTGGACTGCATCAATACAGTGAAATTTACATTGAGAGTGAGATAAAAGGTCGGGTAGTCTCCCCTTCTCACCCCCATATAATTGGTGATCTTTTGTGTCCTATGAAGCAGCACAAATTTTTAAAAGTCAGGACATTCTTTCACAGGCTTTCACAGAACCACTTTTTACTGATTTTTAAACAAATTCATTCTTAATAGTCTCTGCTTTTAAATACAGTAGTTGCACAATATAAGAAAAATAAGCTCTAAGAAAGCGCATACATCGAAACAAATATTTTCTTTCCACTGGAATTTACATCAACATCTGTTTTAAGTATTATTGCATATTTTACTTGACCTGTTATTTCTTTCAGTTGTACAGACTCATAACAAAGTGAGTACAATGTAAGAAACTATCATGCTTCAGTAGGATCTAAATCTTAAATACAAACATGTTTGTGAGTTGAACTAGAAATATTCAGAAAGTGGTTTAAAATTTCCAACCATCTTTCATTCTCTAACATTAAAACAAAAAGTGTGGGTACTATGGCAAACAATGGATGCTGGCATATGAAGCGCAAAACTAAATGCTTTTAGCTTTAAAACTTTTCACTGAGATTCCTGTTGCAATTTTCCTAATTCCTTGCTATGGCTTTTGTGTTCTGAAGTTTGACAATTACTGTTGGTTTTCTAATAATCTGCATTTTCTATCTTTCATTTCATTTCACTATTTGATTGTGTGCCCTAATGCTTTTGTTAACTCCAAAGCCCTTGATTAGCTTTGTAATTACAATAACAGACTATATTATTGCACTATAGCTTTTCTAATTTACATAGATCTTAGAAATAAAGAGGACCTCCTCCAGCCTGTAGTAAAACTGTTGTTTTTCTAGGTTCTAGGTCAAGTTGCTCTGCCCCAGTTTTGGAAAAGTGTCTGATCCCAGAGTATAGCTTTTTCTCTCTGTCCACTGTTCTTGAATCTGGATAATACCCTCAACAAGAGCCTTCAATTAATGTGGCACTGGTGCTTTTGAAGAGGTAAATCAGCTGCTGCAGCAAAAATGCATGACTCCTTTTGTAATGGACTGCATCTTCTTAGTGACCTTCAAGTGAAAGGTTTTACAGATGCATCTCACCCTTCCAAATAGGCAGCCTGAACTTGATTGGGGATTGGCAAAATTGCAACCCAAAGAAGACCCACAGTACGATGTTTACTATTGTTGTCTCTGCTGTCTCCACTGACCTTGTCTTAACTAGCTTAAATAAGGGAGAAGAGTTCCTCTCTTCCTCCCCTTTCCTTTAAAACTTGACAGAGCCATAGGGTCAAGCAGCATGCCTATTATTGTTCTCTTTCAGACTTCCTTTAAACAAAGCAAGGTCCAGCTAAATACCGTCTAGAAGGCAGTGGTGCCTCTTGAAGGAGAAAAGACTGCAGAGTAATGTAGGTTTGACATTTTCTCTCTTCCCCATTTCTTAGGACAATCTGCTGCGACATCTGCCAGATTTCCAGGGGAAAAGGGGAAGTGCTGTTCTGAGTAGAGGTCTGTCCCTTTATTCAAAGATTGAACATGATTTTAGTGCTGGGAGGGAATTCAGATCCTTCATAGAGGAGGCATTTTAAGGACCAGAATTCAGCTATAGAAAAAAATGTTGTGACTAGGATGTTGCTCAAGTTGCTCACAGGAAAACCTTCCACTTGTGTGTCTTTTCAAGATGATTCCACATAGGCTGGGAAACTCCGTGCCCTTGTGATCTTTCTGAAGTTAGGCAGCTTTTTCATGTTACCAAGCACAGCAGTGAAGCTGTGAGATGTGGAGCCCATGTCTGTATTCATGCAGAGCAATCACCTTGCCAAAACTGGGAGATGCTGGGAAAGCGTGCATTGCTCAGCTGAACAAACAGCATACTGCCAGTATCAGAAACATGTAAGGAAGGTGACATAGAGAACAGAAAATTGGAAAGGACTGCTGGGTCTGAATTCTTTTTTTTTTTTTTTTTTTTTAGGCCTTTTCTGTCTTGTGTGCTATGGGCCACTGATTATTGTCCTCTAAAGTTATATTTCACAGGTTCCCATGTAAGGAGGTGGGAAATTGGTAATGCTTGATTTCATCTGATTCTTTTTTAATCCTGTACTACAGCCCTTCAGCTTGATACAGGGTTCTCCAACGTCTGGAAGGGCAATTGTGTGGGGAAACTGATGCTCTGTAGATCTTCCTGAAGTAGCTGTATATTGAGAGGTTCCTTGCTATTGCAGTTGATCCCATGCAATCATAGGACGTGAATTTCCTTACCAGTTAGGAGGGAAAGGGCAATTTGCCAGCTGAGCTGACAGTCCTATAGCTTCCCAAAGACGAAAACCTGTTGACTTCAGCAGTGCTGCTAATAAAAGTCCCTTTCCTGACAGGACTGGGAGTTGCACTGGGAAGCTTTCTTGAGACGTGGTAAGTAGCACGGGATGTCGGCCTGCTCTGTCGGTCATCTTATTCCACAGATCCCATGTTTTGTAAGGAGGAAGAAACCTGACTACCTGCCTTTGTTTTTAATAGGGAGAATCAAGGAGGAATACTCTATTTTCTTGGATACCAAGAAAATTTGAGTCAGCTCTGGTTGCTTAGGTGGGCTTCCAGGGTAGTAGTGTCCTTCTACTTGAAAATTAATCTAAAAATTAGTCAAAAATATGTAACATAGAAGTATGCTATAACTTTTTTTTCCCTCTCTTCTCAAGCCAGTTCTGGAACTGGGAAGGACTATTGTATTTGTCTAGAAAAAGAGCTGTCTGAAACATAGTGAATAACTGTATTCACAGTAACATTAATGTCTGACAGGATTTGCTTTGATAATTAAGTATATTTCAAAACCTGTGAGGAGCTACATTGAATTACTTTTGGGAAGCTGCCTTTCTATTTCCAATTCTGATTTTTTTATACTTTTCAGCATAGCAGTGCATGTTGTGTAAAGTTGTTAATCCGTACACATATTTGTGTCTTACAAATTTGGAAGCAAAAAAGTGGGCTTTTTTGGTGATGCTGACCATGCTTGTATGTATACAGATGTCAAGGAAAGGAAGTAGAGGATATTTTCCAAGGAACTTTTTCAGAAAGAATTTGTTGCACTGAGAACAACAGAAACCCAACCTTATTCTAAACTATCAAAAGGATCAGTTTATAATGGAAATGTCAGTACATATTTCACCTTAATAGCAAAGTCAACTTGTTTCATTGTGTTTATGTGTAAAATGAATGTAACTAAAAGTAAATACTTTAGCTTTGCGGAAGACACAAGCATATGCCTCTTCCAGAATTTAGCTATTTTCTTGAAAGAGATAAGAGATCTTTCTCACATTGCACCAGTCACAGTGAAAAACCTTTAACATGTATACACTGGAGGAGGGGACAAAACAATGTACATTCCATATTTAAAGGTAAGTGAAATCACACTTCTTCACTTGAAAATGGAGAGGGTGCATAGTTTGATGGTATCTGGGCGTAAGGTGACAGGAAACTGATAATGTAGAGGGACCCTACACTGACAAAAGATGATTTTACATTGAGAAGAAGACCCAGAAAAAGTAGGAATAAAGAAATAAAGGGAAAAGCAGGGAAGTGAAATCTCTTAGTGACGATGAAGAAAAAGAGAAAGTATTGTAACAAGCGCAATGGAAGAACATATGGACAAAAGCTGCCCATAAACCCCATTAGGCAAAACCCCACAGAGGGTGGGCTTTGAAATTATTAAATTAGTGCAATTAACAGTATTATGCAAGAGCATTACTATAGTCAGTATTTGTACTATAGTTCAGTTGTTTCTTGATTCCGTTTAAGTCAAACACTAACATATGTGTTTTGTTAAAGATTTGGAAAAGGTGAATGCAAAAATTACTAATATAAGCTCTGACAAGTTTTTTTTTTTTATTGTTGGTAGAAAACCTCAATAAGTTCAACATTAGTATTTGTTAAGTTTTAAAGGCACAAGATAAGTGGCAGTTAGATGTGCTGACCTGCTGGCAAGGTTGATAGTGTTACTTCGCAGGCTCTGAGTTAGTGCAGAAATGACGGAGGGCATCATCCTCTCAAGCATTTTCAGCATTTTTCTCAATACTTAACAATACTTAACTGCAATGACTTTTCAGCAAAAAGCAGTAATGCTTGTGCATTAATAGTATCAGAAAATTATACTGGGGAACAAATGGTAAGAAAAAGCAGCGTAGAAAAGAAACTCAGAAAATGGAATGGAAGTAAAGGAATAGAGATGCATGAGATCGTGTGAGTAGGACTAATCCTTTGCGTGCTGGGACTGTGAAGGTGCAGTGTACCTGACGCGGGGCGTGAGGGAGCTCTGTGGGGTGCGGAGGGAGGTACAGTACACGCGCCTGGCTGCATGCAATCAGCTTCCGTGTGGCTGAGCTCGTGAGCCGTGGCTGATGCCAGCTCTGCAGAAACCTGCTTGCTTGGTATTCCTGAATAATAATTAACAGCATTCCTGGCTTTAGGAGGTCATCTTAGCTTGGGCACAACTTTGTAGCCAGATCTGTCTCTATGAGCTCTTCTGTCACTGCGTCCCAGCTACGGGACTGCATCTAGACTCTGTATGGGGAAGAATTAATTTGTTCAGTAGTTCCCAGTCTGTTAACTTGAATAGAGAGACTACTCATGCTCTCACTGTAATAGTCACTGCTAACAAACGTGGTCATTCTTGCATTTGTAG